AGTAGCAACAGTAACAGTAGCAGTAGCAGCAGCAGTGGTGCTAGTTGTAGCTGTTGTTGTTGTTGTTGATGTTGATGTTGCTGTGTCTTTGATTTTGTTGTCCTGTTCATTGCACGTTTCTGTCTGTCCTGTATTACGCTATCTATTGGCTGCCGATTTATGTCTTGATTCACTGCTTACTTCTTCTATTCTGTCTGTACGTATGTCATTCTCTCTGAACTTTACACTTCCGTGCTTACTTCTATGTATGTTATCTATACTTCTGTTTTCTACCTGTTGATGGCTCTTTGTTATGTTGTTGTCATTCAGTCCTGTGCCTTCTCTTTGATAATAATTTCCCACCGTTCGGTGTCACTGTCCTTCTATCTAGCTTACCCTGTGCTTACTTGTCTGTTTGTCTTTTCTTTCTGTTGTTCGTTCGTCCGTCGTTCTGCTATATGAGTAGTTCACTAAATAAGGGCACCTCTTTAGATCCCAAATATAGTACGGCACCCTTATAAAAAAGCACCCTAGTTTGGAAAGCTACCCATATACTTCTTTATGGATTTCCTCCGTTCGTGGTCATCCTAGCTTCCCGCCTCGGGGGCCCAGGAAGTTGGAGTTAGAAGACTTCAGGAAGCCGGTGTTCGCGCCCATGGAGAAGCAGGGGATGTAGACATCGAAGCTCAGGTTCTCCTGGGTTGCAGCTAAGGAACTTAAAATACGTTGCTGTAATAAGGAAGCCCTATTGCTCACTAAGTATCCCCATTATGGTAACTTAAGGAAGCCCTATTATTTACTGAGTATCCCCATTATGGTACCTTAAACTAAGTTCCCTAACAGCAGCCCAGTCTCGCCACTGTCAAGCTTCAAGGTTCCCGGGCTCAGGGAAGCTTGTTCGCTCTCTGGCCCTGAGGCTGCCCCTTCTTTGATCTCAATCTTGAACCTGTTCGTCAAGATGTCCGTCACCTTGGCCACCATCCCCTAAACCCTAAACCCTGAACCCTAAACCCCTAAACCCTAAACCCTAATCCGTCACCTTGGCCACCATCTTCGGATCTGGCTTCTCGGCCTTGTCCCCGAAATCCGAGTCCAGGACCTTCCCGGAGCGCGTGAGGAGGACCACGCGCGCCCCATACCCGTTCCTTGCCCTGAAGTCGCCGCACATCTCCAGGCCCACGAGCCCAGCCCCATTGAAAACCACGGTCTTGGCCTGAGGTGCTGAGAACTCTAGCCCCCCTAAATCCTAAACCCCTAAACCCCTAAACTTTCCCTAAACTCCTAAACCCCGAAACCCCTAAACCCTAAACCCCTAAACTCCTAAACCCCGAAACCCTATACCCAGCCTGCTTCAATGCTTCGCCGCAGGCCCGGACTTCCGAAATGCGCTCCGACAAGCTCATCCCGGCCGTTGGAGTGAGCAATGGGCCTTACTTGGGGGGTGGTTAGGGTTTAGGGTTTAGGGCTTTAGGGGTTTAGGGTTTATAGGGTTTAGGGGTTTAGGGTTAAGGTGATATGGGGGTTTCCGAAAATAGGGGACCCTAATATAGTACCCTAAATAGTAAGATCCTTATTATAAGGACCCCAAAACAAGGTGCCCTAATTTTCGGAAACTCTGACTATAAGTTACTATAATTATATGACTAGAACTACTGTAAGCACCGTTCTCATCATTACGAAGTTTACAGTCCTGAGTTGTCCATTTTCTAAATGTTGACATTCGGGATTATCCAGGAATTCTAGTAGCCAGAAAATGCTAAAGGTTGCGTAGTCTAGTACCAAAAAGCTGTTCTGGCCGCTTGCCACGATCAGGACTTTGTAGTTGATGACTTTGCCAGCGTCAGGGCCCTTTTGCATCAAGGTGATCTCCTTCATGTCACAGTTCACCTTACGTGTCCAGTATCCTAAGGGGAAACAAAGATCAACGTTTGGGATTATTAGGGATTACAGTGCCCAAAAAAGGGTTAAAGCTAAAGGCTACCTACTCTACTGCTAAGCTACGGTTTCTGCCGGGCTCAGGAAGTACTCCACATTGGTCCACTTCTTCATCATCCATTTCTCGGGGTCGCCGCTTGTCCACTTCACGTGCTCCTCCGGGCTGTTCAGAAAGACGGCGGCTGCCATGGCCCACTCTTGGAAGGTGAAGCCGTGGATGTAGGCAACGGACTTCTTGCTTTTCGCCAGGACTTCTACGGCATGGAACGCGCTGAGACCCGCACCAACTACAGCAACGTCGAACGACTTTGCCATGGTACACGTCCGCCAGGTGCTAAAACACGGTCGGGTGGCGGGGGCGAAGTTGGCTTGAGTCTTCAGCTCTCCCGGCATAAACTTTGACAAGCAATAACACGACAATGCACAAGCCGCGACGTAAGCATGAAGCAGCAGGAGGAGGCAAAGCTGAGCACAAGCAAGCATAGCTCGGATTTCGATCACTAGTGAGCGAACTTGCAATCGAGCTGAACATGCATCCCCAAATCAAGCTGCTACAAGTTCATTCAACATCAGCAACAAGGCGTCTGCATCCTGGCTACCAGCCCTGTCAGGTGCCACCCTGACATGCTTTTCTAGCATTTCGGGGCCCATTTACAGGGTCCAAACACCGGGTCATCTCCCGCCCCTTTGTTGGGGCACCTAGCTTTATGGCTCAGATCTCTTATATAGGAAAAGTACGGTACCCAAATGACGGTGTACAACCCTAAACCCTAAACCCAAATAACGGTGTATAACCCTAGACCCTATATGTCTAGCGGCCGAGGGCATCCCTGCTCCAAGTGCCAACGAAGCTGCTCAAGGAGTTGAGGTTCGGAAGGCGGCGCCACGGGCCCTGTCACGGTAGGGGTTTGGGGTTTTGGGTTTAAGGGGTTTAGGGGTTTAGGGTTTTGGCTTGTAGGGTGTATATAGGGTTTATGTTTCGGGTTTAGGGAGTAGGGTTTAGGGGTAATAAGGGCTTCGCTTCGGGTGCCACTTGAGGTGGGTCCTTCCGCAGTTTAACAAGGGGCTCAACTGTTGCTGTCATAGCAAATCACACTGAGTCCTGCTCCGTTCTACCACGACCTGATCTTGAACTCTTTGCTATGCTACCTATACTCTCCATCGTAGTTCCTTTTTGGGGTTACCTTTTGGGTTCCTTCCATAAAAAGGAACTACAATGGAGACTATAGGTACGATTGGCGGCTCCTGGTGTTCGATACATGCCCGTTCATTACGTGTTTCCCTTTCAGGGAACCTTCATGTAGAACAACCTGCGTGAAACATTCACCAAAACTCTGGGCTGCAATGCAGTCGTGTTTGAATGGTAAAGGGACAGTACCTCGGCAGTACTTTCCTAGATACTACACTTAGACAGCTAATACATACCCCCTACACTACATGTTCTAAGCCCCAAAGACAACCCCTAAACCTCAAAACCTACTCCGAAACCCCTGAACCCCTAAGCCCCTAATTAAACCCCTAACCCTTAAACACAAAATCTCTATACCCTAAACCCTAAACCCCTAAACCCCTAAGCCCCTGAGCCCCAGAAGGCTCTCCATCAATCCGAGGGACGCGGCCGCGAAGGTGGACAGGCCAAGTCTTCCGCAGACCAGGGTGGCGGGAAGGCGTAGTACTCGTAGACCTCTCCGCACTTTTTGAAAAAGACGCCAGAGACTTCGGAGATGTGAGGGTTTTGTAGATCTTGGGCTTTAGGATGGCTTAGGATGCATTGGTCTCGAGTTTTAGGGCTTGGGGCAACTGTCAGGGGTTGTTAACCCTAAGGGTCCATGTACTCATATAGTATATACTTTGGCCCCAATGTACCTACATAGGGACTACTTTAAGGCAAATGTATATACTATATGAGTACTAGGACCCTTAGGATAAAGCTTCGGAGGATCTGCAGCTGAGTTGGCGTGGGAGTTCCGGGACTCGGGAGCATGGGGCGGTGGCATGTGGCGGCCTGAATCTAATGCATTGGAATCGGGTGTCGGGTGGGGTTTAGGGTTTAGGGTTGTATATTATGGCATCGGGCTATATATCATGGTATAACTATGCATATCTACACAGGGGCCTTAAGGGAGTTGTTGCTAGTCTTTCAGGCTTCTATAGTACGCGCAGACTCCAGCACAAGAGTGCCAAATGCCCAGGAAACTCACGCCTCCAAAATTGCTACCCGGATCGCTCATAGGGAAGATCATATCCTCAACGTGAGTAGCCTTCGTCCATGGAACTCTGAGCCAAAGCCAGAGAAGGAACCTCAAAACCCCAAAACCCCTGATATAGGGGCCTGAATAATTACAAGAGGGTTTTGGGGTCTATTGTACTATCACTACAATAAGAAACCCCAAACATAGTATTGGTAATCACTTAGGTCTCTCACAATAGGGTTTTGGGGTATATTATACTATCATTACAATAAGTCCCCCCCCCAAAAAAATAGTATTGGTAGCTATGATAACCCAATATATAGTATTGGTACCTAGTTAGGCCCCTCTATGATGCAAAGCTTACGACTTCTCTGATCTCTTTTGGATTCCCTAAACCCTAAACCCTAAACCCCTAAACCCAAAACCCTCGCCAGAGCCTCCAGGGAGCTCATGGGCTCCTGCTCCTCAAAAGGCTCCTCCAGGCCTGCGGGAGGGGTGTGGGGTAGAGGGTAGAGGATTTAGGGTTTAGGGTCTAGGGTTTATAGGGCTTAGGGGGATTCAAGGCTCAAAATCAACCAATCCTAAACCTTAACATACCCTTAAGTAAGCCTTTAATGTATTTTTTAACTGCGACTGTGTAGGCTTTTGACTGGCGACTGATGATGCCAACCTCGCGACAGACAACGCAATTTCGCACTCCGTCTCCTACTGTACAAAAACCCACCCTAGGGCCCCACTAACTTAAGCAGTGGTTTACTAGCCACATAGTATGCAACCTAATGACCGCCTTATTTTAAGTAGCTGGAGACCTCAACCCAAACGAGTTCCGAGTTGGCCTCACAATTGTCTCAAAAAAGGGCATCACGGTGCAGTGCTTGGGGGTCTAGGATTTCTGCAATTCCGGCTGCGGACCCTGTGCTGCCAATGCAGCAGTGATCTCTCAACCCACAGTTGCCTTTAGGTTTTGGGGGTCCCTTGTCCTATCATTACTCCTATTGCACTTCAATCCCACTCCACGAAACGGGTTCAACGATCCGTGCGCTAGGGTTCACGCTGTACGGTGTATGGGTTTAGACCCCTTGGCCAATGTGAGGCTCATGGCCTTACTTGAGGATGTGTGCCTTTGCAGCCTGTTGCAAATCGAAGGAATGTCCTTCAGTCAAGGGCGTACGAACAGCCTAGTTTTACGTGCTAAGTATAATTACGATGAGGAACCCCCCGACAGTACAGGTAATCATTTAGGTCCCTATATCAAGCTCAAGCACTGAAGTCTCGCAGCTGACATAAGCCGCACTGCCATGCACTCTGCCAATTCCAAAACCATCAACGGAAAATCAGGATAGTCAAATTTCGCCAAAGGCGTAACTTGAAAGCAGTCCACAGTAGACCTCAAGCCTTCAATCACTGTAGTGCACGAATGTAGACTACTAACCCAGAATCCATTCAAACCTTCGTCTGCGAAATTAGCCTCTGCATAAAATTTGGTTTCTCATTACGGTCATTATGACTACGAGCATAATTACCATTATCAGTATAGCATGATTGTAGTGTGCCTCTGCGCTGGCTGCTTGCGCTGACAGGGCGGGCCTGGAGATTGGTGATGGAGGACTGTGGCTGCTGTTAACCAGGGTTTAGGGTCAGGGGGTTTAGGGGTTTAGGGCTTCTGAGGCCAACCTTCGCCTCTGCCGATGGTGCGTTCGCTTTCCGCTAGACTCTTAGCGTCAGGCTTCGCACAACGAGCGACGACGACGACTGTGATGATCATAGTAATTTGGGACTCTTAGTCGTCTTGGTATGGCTGTGCTTGCCATTGCTGTCGCTGTTGCTGCCCTGCTGCGACGGACGGTCCTCGACATCGTCGTCGATGTTGGTACTGATGGTATTGATTTGAACTTGACTGTGCTTTGTCACCACTCCTGCAGTTTTCAAGACTAGATGCCAACTCTGGTATACCCGAAAGTGCATCAATACTTGAATCATGTGCTTATGACGGTGTGTAAACATGTATGTATACAAGATAGATAATAATAATAATAAGAATAATAATAATAAGAATCATAATAATACTAATAATAATAATAATAACATAATCTGATAAAGATAAGAAGATATAACTTATGATAAAATAGGGAAAAAACTAAATGTAATATAGTGGAATAATACAAAAATCATGATGTGATACAAAATTTAACATGATGACCAATATAATATGCTAGAATATAATGCTAGTTCTAAATAATATAAAAAATTCTACGATATACTATGACATGAAATAACATAAAATAAGATATTGCTTGTAATATTGTAATAAGGTACTATAGCATGTATACTCTCTCTCTCTCTATATATATATATACATATTGTATATACATACTAACATACCCGCGCATATTATGAAGGCCGATCGCAGCACGTCGCGGTGCCTTGTGGACAATGGTCAGATCGGGCTCCAAGACAGTGCTGTCCCCCGCCAGCTCGTCGGTATGAAAAGTTTCCTTGCTCGGGTTTAGGGTTTAGGGGTTTAGGGCTTTAGGGTTTAGGTTTTTTTTCCTCTCGCATGGCTGAGGATCTATGCCCACAAGCGAGGATGACTTGAGTACAAGACGACTGTGCACTAGTGATAGAGAAGGTTTAGGGTTTAAGGATCGTGGGCGACCAGTTTTCTTGCTTAGGCTCTGGGGCTAGGGACATTGCCTTTGGGAAACATGCTCCGATCATCTTCGATGAGAATACATGAGGATCATCAGCCAAAAGCTTCCCGGCTCAATTTCAATAAGACATTAGATGTGCAGGAAATTCTGAGTCTGAATGGCATTCAGATCGACGAGACTCGGAGTTTTCTTGACACAACATGAGACGCCAAGCGGCGTAGTAGCTGTCGTCTGGCTGCGGCTGGAATGTCACTGCTTCCATATCCTTCCGGCAAGCAATGGCAAGCATGGCAGCGCCGGCCTCTTTGGAACAAAGCCCCTGTGGAGCCTCCTGCTTGGCCTTCTCGTTGGTGCACATGTGCACGGATCGCAGGTCCTTCGAAGCATACGTCCCCAAAACCGAATGCATACAAATGCATGAGACTTCCTCAGAATCACATACAATCACACTTGTGCCACTAGAATGAAAATA